TTATTAGAATTTCATTTTATAGTTGTTTTCATGGTCACATACCCCTCATGACAATTTTATTTCAGAGGGAAGGACATATGACCTTTATCCAATATAAGTTTCAGGAAGCTACTGATATTTGCCAAAATATCATTGCTGAATTGACACTATCTTGCACGAATTGTTCACTCCAAAGTGAACACAATGATATTCAGGAACAGCTCATCGTTAGTCAGGTCAGGTGACAGAATCCTTTGTGAAGTGATAGGACAAGGAGCAAACACCAAACAGAGCTCTGGAGTTTGTGCGAGGTTGCAGAGCCTCCTGAGTTCTTCGCCTTTTCACAAGGGCAACGGTGCCTGCACAGTCTTTCTAGTCCATCATGCATTTCCAACATCACTCATTTAACCAATGAGTATCATTTATCATTCTTCTAACCTATGTACTCTGCTATAAATATTAATCCATCCCTGGACTGTAGACTCCTGTCTTGTTGTTGTTGTTGTTGTTATGTGCCGTCAAGTCGGACCCAACTCATAGCGACCCCTCCTTGGGTTTCCGAGGCAGTATCACTACGGAAGTAGATTGCCCCATCTTCCTTCCGAGGAGTGGCTAGTGGGTTTGAACCTCCAGCCTTCTGGTTAGCAGTCAAGTGCCTTAGGCACTATGCTACCAGAGCTCCCAGACTCCTGTCTAGGCTTATTCAAAAGCTAACTATCCTTGAGGCATAGATTTCTGGTTGAAAAAACCAAATCCACTGCCATCATGTTTCCAAGACTGTACATCTTTACAGAAGTTGATTATCTCATCTTCCTCCCACAGAGCAGCTGGTGGGTTTGAAAGGCTGACCTTTGGTGGGTTTGAATGCCGTACCACAAGGGCCTTTAAATGCTATCTAACCACCCCTGTGGTATATATTACGGTCTCTGGGTAGAGCAAACAGTTTGAGCTCAACTGCTAGCCAAAAGACTGGCAGTTTGAACTCACTCAGCAGTACTATGAAAGAAAAGTCCTGGCAATCTGCTTCCGTTAAGATTATAGCCAAGAAAACCTTCTAGAAAAGTTTTACCCAGTAACACAAGAGGTTGCCATGAGTCAGAATCGAGACAATGGCAACCAACAGTAACAACCACATGGAGTATATTAAAATCAATTTATATATGCATACATCACATTGTTTACACAGAGAAAAAAAATCATCAAATCTTATTTAAAAGCAAATAAATCTGGAAATACTATCTCATAAATTTTTCATCTATTCTGTGTTTCTGAACATACCACAAAAACTGGATCATTGGCAGCAGAATGTGGCAAAGCGTTTGTTCCATTCAGAAAAGAATGGACCAAATTATGAAGGCTCATCATCTGAGAGTCCAGGGTCCCATCTGCTTTACCAAATCCTTCCACCGCATTCCTGGGAGAAACCAGATTGTCAGCAACAACAGTCACAGTTTGGTAAAAGTCTCTTTTTATTCTTTCCAGCCTAGATAATAGTCTTCTAGTTTTAGATTGAATAGGGATGTGGAAAATTCTCCCATAACTAATTAACTACGAACTAGACCAAATCTTTGATTATGGTTTGTTATAATCAGTGCTACTTAATCAGTGCTACTTCTGTACCTGCTCAGTTGGATTATATCTCTTTTATATACTGCATGGCAATTATTTATCTTCATATCCATCTTCTGTGTCAGACTATGAACTTCTAGGGGACATGGGTCACCAGTTGCCATGAGTTGATTTCAACTCATGGCAACCCCATGTGAGTCACATTTGAACAGTGCTCCATTGATTTCCAATGGCTGATTTTTCAGAAGTAACTCATAGGCTTTTCTTCTGAGGCACCTCAGGTTGGATTCAAACCTCTAACCTTCCAGTTAGCAGCCAAGGATCTTAACTGTTTGGACCACCCAGAGACTCCAAAACTGTGTTTTTCTTAACACTAATCCCTTATTAACCTTTCTTATTATATCCTCTCCTTTACTCAGTTTTGCACAGGTCTCCCAACATCTGGATTTCCTTCTAGTCCATCACAACTTCAAGTATGAAAATCTAAAAATATTGTAAATTTTCAGTGTAACAGATCTCAGAATACCAACCTGAAGCTGAAGGTAGAGTTTTGGAAGAAAGGAGGACTGTCAAACTTATTGAGGGATAGACAATCTTGTATGTCTTTTAACGTTGGCAATTTCTCATTGTTTCTTCCCACTGGATTTCTTCTCAACAAACCTTCATAGGTTCCATTACACAGTGTGACTTGGCGGTTGTAGTCATCTAAGCTAAGATTTGTTAAGATTAAAAACAATGTATTAACTCCTGCATAGTGCCAGGAGTTTGTGCCAAGCAAACCAATCACAGTCATGGTCCTAGTAAAATTTTATCACAATCACACACACACAAAAGTGAGAAAACTACCATTCGAAAAGTAATTGTGGATTAAGGAATTTCTAACACATAAATAGATAAAATGTGACTATAGGCATAAATATGAAGAATAGTTTACATTCCATTGGAAGGACAGTAAAAGGGCTTACAAGGCTAGATGATGACTCCTACTACATGCATTCTTGAGTACCTGAGGAAAAGGTAGCCTGTATTTTGCTGAGCTAAGCCATTTTGATTAGAGGTGGAAGAAGTGGTTGTAAAAAGCTAGGAAAACATTTTAGGCAAACTAAAGGCAAATAGAGGAGGTAAGAGTAAAAACACATAGAACTACATATAGGAGAGGTATTAGAAGAAATACTCTACAGTATTAGAAAATGTTCCAAGGCAAGTAGGGTATTGATAGTTATGATGAGAAATATGGAGGCTGAGAAGTTTCCATGCCCAGAAAAGATTATCTCCTACACCCCTGTTGTGATCTGAACTTCTATCAGAGCATCAGAACATTATTTTATTAAACTAAAAAAAAAAAAAAAAATCACTGCCATCGAGTCAGACCCGACTCATAGCGATCCCTTCTTGAGTTTCCAAGGCGGTATCACTACGGAAGTAGATTGCCCAACCTTCCTTCTGAGGAGTGGCTGGTGGGTTTGAACTGCCAGCCTTCTGGTTAGCAGTCAAATGCCTTAGACATTGTAAAGCTGTTACTGCATTAGTTTTAATGTGTGGGGATAGTACTGCATACATAAGAACAGAATTGGTACACACATAATGTTAAAAGAGGCCAGGACCTAAAATCTAGGTTAAAAAAAAAAAAAAAAAGACACCAAGGCACCATCTCCCAAAGTGTGTTCCAGTGATGTGGTCTGTGTAATAAGGGTCCCAAGGTCAATAAGCTTAGTCCCCTTTTGGAAAGTCACAATATATTCACGTATGAAAGGCTCATATAGACTGGGAGAACCCCTGAGACTATTGCCCTAAGAAATCCTTCTAACCTGGAACTGAAGCCACTCCCAGAAAAATTCTAAAGCAAACACTTTTTCAATTTGGCATCTTCTAAATTTACTTGATTACAGATATCTCTTTTTGTGTACCCACTATTAGTATACAATGGAAGGAAGACTGGGCAATCTACTTCTGTAGTGATACTACCTCGGAAACCCAAGGAGGGGTCGCTACGAGTCAGGTCTGACTCGACGGCACATAACAACAACAACAACAATTAGTATACAAAGGTTCTATAGGAAATAGCACTTTACAGAATTAAGGTTAATCATATAATTAGCACTTATTATATATTCTTTAGGAGCTCTGGTAGCATAGTGCCTAAGGCACTTGACTGCTAACCAGAAGGCTGCGGTTCAAACCCACCAGCCACTCCTCGGAAGGAAGATGAGGCAATCTACTTCCGTAGTGATACTGCCTCAGAAACCCAAGGAGGGAAGGAGGGGTCGCTATGAGTCAGGTCCGACTTGACAGCACATAACAACAACAACAACATATATTCTTTGTTGTGGAACAACAGTTTGGTCTCAGCTGCTAATCAAAAGGTTGGCAGTTTTAACCCACCTAGAGGCACTGAAGAAGGTCCTATCAATCTGCTTATATAAAGAGATAGCCAAGAAAACCCAACATAGCTCTACTGTGTAACATAGTTCTACTGTGTAGCATAGGGGGTTACCATAAATTGGAATTGTCTTGATGGAACAGTTTGATTTTTTTTTTTTTTCTTTTTTGGTTTATTGTGGAACACTGTCAGAGCTATGGGAAATCCCTTGTACGAAGAAGACAGAATCATGGCTAGCTAGGCCTTACTCATTACCCATTGCCATCAAGGTGATTCTTACTCATAGTAACCATGTCAGACAGAGTAGAACTACCCCATAGGGATCCCAAAGCTGTAATCTTTACAGAAGTAGATTTCATGTCTTTCTCACGGTTTTGGTTAGTGGTAGTGTGTTTAACCACTATGCCACCAGGCCTAGACCCATTAAAACATGTACATGCCCGGCCAGGGTCATGTGGTGTTGACATTGAAGCCTAAAAGGTAGACTGGAACTCTGCATCATTGATCAGTGTAAAGACACTGGAACTACACCTAGAGTAACCAAATCCACTGCCATCAAGTCAGTTCCAACTCACAGCAACCCCCATAGGTTTCCAAGGCTGTAAATCTTTAAGGAAGTAGACTGGCTTTTCTTTCTCCCATGGAGAAGCTGGTGGGTTCCAACCACCAGTCTTTTGGTTGGCAGCCCAATGTCTTAACTGTAGTGCCAGCAGAGCTCCCTACACATTTAGATTAAAAAAAAAAAAACTCAACTGCCATCGAGTTGATTCTGACTCATAGAGACCACCATTGGGTTTCCAAGGCTATACATCTTTACTGAAGTAGACCACTACATGTTCCTTCCATGGAGCAGCTGGTGGGTTTAAACTGCTGGCCTTCTGGTTAGCAGCCAAATGCATTATCCACCAGAGCTCCTTCTACACATCTAGAGTAGTGGGGTTAAAAATATGGGGAGTTTGGAGGGACAAAAAAATGAAGAAAGGAAGGCAAACCACCTAAGTATCCATCAGCAGATGAATGGATAAATGAAATATGGTACATGCATAAAATGCATTACTATGCAATGATAAAGAATAATAATGAGTCTGTGAAAATGTATAACTTTGGAGGACATTATGCTGAATGAAATAAGTAAATCCCAAATGACAAATATTGCATGATAACACTTTTATAAAAAGTCAAGAATAGGTTTATAAACAGAAAGCAACCTTCTTTGATGGTTATCAGGGATGGAAGTAAGAAGGTGGGAGAATCACTTAGTGAGATAGTAGACATATATTGATTCTGGTGAAGGGAAAGGCAATGCATGATATAGGAGAAGCCAGCACAACATGACTAAGGCAAACAAAGACACTAAGAGGTATGCAAAAATAATGGACAATTACAGTAGTTATTATACCATATATAAATCTGCAACAATAGTAACAGCAACCAAAAATTTGTGAATGATTACATAGGTAGATAGGTATGCTATATAGGTGTTGGAGGGCATATGAGAGTGCATGCATATGCATATGTTGGTGTAGCTGTGGGCATATGTACATACATATTTGTTTGTGCTGCATATATGTTCACGTATATAGTAAAGCTCTCAGAAGGAAGGTTGGGCAATCTACTTCCATAGTGATACCGTGTCGGAAACCCAAGGAGGGGTTGCTGAGTTGGGTCTGATTCGACAGCAAAACAACAACAACATAGTAAAGTTCATAGGGGAACATAGCACAGTTATGGAAACATTCCAGACATATCCAAACACCTCATGAGATTGAGTTACTTGGCTTGAAGACTAAAGCCCATAGTCTCAAGGGCATCTAGATCAATTGGCATAACATAGTTCATAAAGATAAGGTTCTATATTCTAGTTTGGTGAGTAGCATCTGGGATCTTAAAAGCTTGTGAGCAGCCATGTAAGGTTCAACTATTGGTCTCCTCCCGTATGGAGCAAAGAAGAGTGAAAGGAACTAAAGACTCAAAGAAGCAATAGCCCACAGGACTAATGGCCCACATGATCCATAGCCTCCTCTAGCCTGAGACCAGAAAAACTAGATGATGCCTGGCTACCACTAGCAACCACTCTGACCAAGAACATAATAGAAGGTGCTGGTTAGAATGGTAAAATATATAGAACAAAACTCAAATTCATAGGGGGGAAAAAAAAAGGTCAGATTTACTGGACTGATGTAACTGGGGGAACCCCTGAGATTATTGCCCTAAGACACCCTTGTAACTTGCAACTGAAACCACTCCCAGAGGTAACCCTTCAGCTAAATAATAGATTGGCCTCTAAAATAAACAATAACATGCAAGAGGAATGTAATCCTTAGAACTATCAACTATACGAGACCAAACAGGAAACATTTGCTCAAAAGCAAAGATGAGAAGGCAAGGAGGGGCAGGGTAACTGGAGTGACAGAAATTGGGAAGGCAGGGTGGAAATAGGAAGAGTGCTGACACATTGCAGAGATAGCAACCAATGTCACAGACAAGTTGTGCATAAATTGTTGAATGGGGAACTAATTGGTTGCCTAGACGTTCACTTAAAACATAGGAAAATGCTCAAAAAAAAAAAAAAAAAGGCAGCAAAGGATCCTCTTGGGAAATCTATTTCTTTAATGTGTGCCAGGAAAGGGAAACAAATCAAGGTGTCTTTGAGGGCAGAATTCTTCAGGGGCTGCAGGATGTTTACATGCTTCTTTCTTCTTTAGAGATCATCCTCCTCCTACCCCATACTCCCTTCTCCCTCAACTCACCAGCATCTCATGGTCCAGCCATACCAGAGAGCTCCTAGAGAATTTTCAAGCTTCCTACGTGCTGTTCCCTCCACCTAGGACACACTTACTACCCTCTCAAAGTCTCCTCACCTTCCCCTCCATCTTGTTCATCTTTGAAGTCTGAGAATAATTGGCTTCACTTCTTTGGGACTTTCCCTTACTCTTCTCTTGGATGTGCACACACATCTATTATGGTACTTCTCTCACTGCATTGTAATTTGTTTACCAGAAGCTGTCTTTGTAAATGTACAACATATTCAAAAGGGAAGCTATATATTATTCATCCTTGTATTCCCAGCTCTATTACATTGCCTAGAATATGGTAATACTTAGCAAATGTTGGTTGTATGTAAGAATTACTCCTAATATTAAAGTAGTTGATCTCAAAATGATGGCCAACCATATTCAAGTCACAGAAGTGATTTTGATATATCTGTTTTGTTTTGTTTGTTTTTCATTGAAGGGCTTAGAATGTTTTAAATCCTACCTCCTGTGGGAAAATCATTTAAAGAAACATGTAAACAGAATGCATTAGAAACAAATAGAAAGTGACTTCTCCATTTGGCTCACTAAGGCACAAGAAAATATGGTCTCTGACCTTGGAAACATTGTGCTGACTGAAACAAGTTAGTCACAAAAGGGCTGTATGATCCCACTTATATGAAGTACTTAGAATAGACAAGTGTATAGATACCAAAGTTTATTAGCAGTTACCAGAGGTGGGTGAGAGGCAGAGAAAAAGGAGAACTTAATGCTTAGAGGACACTGAGCTTCTGTTAAACACGATGGTATAATTCGAGAATAGGTAATGATGATCATTGAACAACATGATGAATATAATTAATGTCACTGAACTCTGCCTGTAAATATTGATGAAATGTGAGATATTATGTTACATATTTATTTACTGCAATTTAAAAAAGAAAGAAAATATGGTATCTAGATTTCCATTGCAGATATGTATGCCATTACCTATCGCAGACCACTCCCCAGCTGGAGAATCTTGACTTCCGACTGATCAGAGTTGGTTCATCTTGTCTGGATGCCCCAAACAGCTGGTCTATACACACATCACACTCGTTTCTCCCAGTGGCAAAGTTCCAGTAGGGCAAAGCAAAGGACTCATTGCCAGTCAGCCGCTAAAAAAGCAAAGGTCACATCCAGTCATTTAATATATGCCATCATATACAACAAGAAGACTTATAAATGTCATGACCAAATTTATAGCAAAATTTAAAGTACCAAATGTATAGTCCTGACCAACCTGGAGATCTCTTTCCAGCAATAACAGATGGTACCGGTGCCAGGTAACAAAAGCAGGTCCTTGGTGTGAGAAATCTATGGCCTTGTATGGGCGCCCTGGTCCTAAAACAATTGGAAAAAGTATTAAAGTCACAAAATATAATTTTTTAAATGTTAAGCCTTACCTGATGTCTCTATAGAGCCAATAAATCCATGACATTTTAGTAAAAAAGAAAAAAAAAAGTCATTTATCTACCTGAAAACAATAACAACAATAATCACAAACAATTTCAGAAGTAAGTAACTCTCTTTCAAGTCTCAAAAGTTTGATTTTCAGTAGCAATTGATAGAAATCCAACTTCAACTTTTAAGAATCCCTGTTATATCTTTAAATTTTAAGCAACAATTAAGGTGAAAAAGAGTATCCAAAAGAGTGGATCATTAAAAACTAAGCATTTGTTTTTTAAAAACACTTATTTTTAAAAGACATTTTCTGACTTATTCCTTACAAATGCACAGATTTGTAAGAGAGGGTGGTTAATTAGTAATAGAGTAACTTCAACTGCATTTAGTTCTGATGCAGTATTTATAAACCAAAAAGAATTTTCATGGAGTTTGCCTCACCCATCAATCAGTTATAACTACCAGCTGACAAGCATGGTCACTGAGACCAGAAGAAAGAAAAATAGATTCAAACCAATTTGGCTGGCCACTGGAACTGCCAATTTTAGTGAAAAGCTTTGGGCGATTTAATGACCTCCTTATCGCCGGTTCCATCCTTTTTCTCTCTTTCATAACAGCTTTTGATGGTTATGTAGAAACTTTAGCTAACTTTAGTTCTTTTTCAAAGTACCTATAATAACTTCAGAGAGCTGAACAGACATGAATATAAATTTAATTCCTAGATATGACCAGAAACTATACTTTTCTTTTCCTCTTGAGAGACTACCCTCTCATAAAGCAAAAATTCCTCAGAGTGATGACAGGAAAACTATAAAGGTTTATAGCCAGAAGAGCCTCCTTATCTATCGATAAAGAAAGACAGATGCTTACCTGTGAGGCAAGTTTTAAAAAGATTCACGCTGAGAAAAGAACTACTGTCGCTGCTGTTGGCTACATAGTCCTTTTTTCATGTTTTAATCCAGAACAAAGTTTAAAATTCTCAAAACAAAATGTGGAGGAGGAATCAAGTGACGGGGAACAGATGATAAACACAAGGACACACAATTCCAAGGACAGACAATTCCAAAGGAAACTCTGCTATTCAAAACAATCTCCATGTCCTAATCCTGATCCCAGTGAGGGACCCCCAAAACCCCAAAAAGGATAAAAGCAAGTACAAGAGTTCAAAACTTCTCTGGGTGAAATCTAGCACGAGTTCAAATCCACCTGGAACAAACAGGTATTTATGGTTTTCCCCAGACTGAAAAATAACTAAGGATGAACTTGAACCTGCTCAGTAAAGAGGTTTATAATAGACAATAACCTCCATTCCAAGTCCTACCAAAGACCAAACTCACTGCCATCAAGTCGATGCTGACTCATAGTGAACCCCTTTGGGTTTCCAAGGCAGTAAATCTTTATGGAAGTAGATCGCCCAGTCTTCCTTCAGTGGTGTTGCTGGTGGTTAGCAGTCAAATGCCTTAAGCACTACACCACCAGGACCCAATCTTTATGATCATGAACCACAGGGTGCCATTTTCTCAAGTGTCAAACAGAACTGTGGTCCAAAGGGCCAAGCAAGAGGAATTCTACATCTCAGCTTATACTTTTCCTTGACAATAAAACCAGTTGCCATCAAACCAATTCTGACTCATGGAAACTCCATGTGTGCCAGAGTAGAACTGTACTTCGTAGGATTTTCAATGGCAGAAGCTCTGGTGGCCTAGTGCCTAAGGCATTTGACTGCTACCCAGAAGGCTGGCAGTTCAAACCTACCAGTCACTCCTCAGAAGGAAGGTTGGGCCATCTACTTCCGTGGTAATACCACCTTGGAAACCCAAGGAGGGTTATGAGTTGGATCCAACTCCACAGCAGTGAATTTGGTTTGGTTGGTGGATATTTTGGAAGTAGATCACAAGGTCTTTCTTCCAAGGTATCTTTGGAGGACTTGAATCTCCAACCTTTCAGTTAGCAGCTAAGCACATTAAAACCATTCCTAACACACAGGGACTCCTTTTTGACAACACAATTCCAAAACTCCTGGGGATTCCCTGCAGTGCCTGGGTCCCACAAGGGCTTATCTGAAAGTCTACAGATTAATACACGAAATTTAACTAGATATATACTTCCAACACAAACAGTCTAATTCTGCACAAAGAAATTTCATGTGCTTTGACACATGCTCAGTTAATCCCTCTAATTTGAAGCAAAGTTCACAGGGGGCTTCCATGACCAGATTTAAAAATGAATTCTTCTGGAATCAGAATGCATTCACCTTCATGTGACCAACCCTTGCCTTTGAGGATTAATAGCTTCATAAACAGCAGTTTAGACTTTGAATCAAGAATGAAAACTAGAGAGGATGTTTTAAAGTGTCTTCAACCAACGTACAGGAAGAAACTGCTGCATTCTAATTTCAGGCAGTATTCCATGACTTTCATAAACTTAACCCACCCTTGAGATTGCTCTCTTGTTAATTAACTTGCCTAACATTACTTCTCCACTCCCACAATCCCAAACCTAAAATAATATACATTAAGCCACGGAAAAAAACCTACCTAATAATGTATCTCTGACGGAATAATAATGGAGCCATACAAAGTAATCATAAATGCTGCAGTTGACAATTTGTGGCTGGGTTCCATTGGGCCCAAGCAGGCCCAGCCAGTGCTGTGTGGTGATCACATAGTCTGGGTGTGTGGTTTTCTTTGCAAGGTCCAAGGCACCCAAGAACTGCTCCCTCTCCTGAGGAGTCAAGGCATGGATATTTTTCCTAACAACGAGTGGTTTCTTCTGATCGCAGTTGGGGCCAGTCCAGCCAAATTTGCAGTCTCCACAGTTATAGCCAGCAAAGTTTCCTAAAGGATAAAAAAGGGAAAGATAGAGAAGAAAAAGGTTTATGCAGTTTGAAAGAAATTTGTGAATTTGAGCTAGCATGTGGTAGAATGAAGAGAAGAAGGTGCTACAGAGGGCAAAGAGTCCATTTCCTTTTCTTACTCTCTTCTTTCCACCTTTCTGTCAGTTTGTCCAACTGTGGCAATTAATAACAACTCTGTTCTTGAAACATTTGTATCTACAAATGAACTGAGAGTCCAAGAGCTTGTTAGAAATATTCTCAGGAAGGCCAACAGGATAGGAAATAATAGCATAACGTGCTGTCTTCCACATTCTCCATCTTCTTGTGGATCGTGCAGGGGTGGCCCTCCCTGTGTACACTCCACTCCCTGCTCAACCTGGGGCTGAGTGGTGGTCTCTGCATGCCCACCATGCTGTGCCCTGGTAGCTCTTTGGCAGACAGGAGCTGACAACAAGATCCCCAAGTGACTCTTATGCATACTTAGGAATCTTGTGTGTTCTTATGGATGCCATTAAAATGTGAATTACGACTCAGTTATCTGGGGTGGAAATGCAAATTCTCAGCAGGAGTCAAACTGCAATGCAACACTTGGAAGCCCTGGGACATAACGTAGCTATCAGTGGAACAAATAATAAATAAGCTGATTTCCGGAAATTTAGATGAAACCTAACATAAAATATCTGGCTTGTTTCACAAAGGAGACAGAGTTAAGACGAAATCGATGGAGGCTGACAGGGTATATACGGGTGAATTAGCTGCCGTGATGGCAGTGAGTACAAATCACGCAGGTTTCTTGTCAACTGCACAAATGTCTCGGTTATACCAATAGCCAGGGAATGAGCACCAGAATATCAAGCTCTAAGCATCTTTATGATTAATGTCTAAATTGCTAATTAACTCAGTTTGCCCTTCACTTTTTCCTGTCTTCATTACTGTGGATTATCAGCACCTCATTCCCTAGGTGGTGATAAGTTAAAGAGTAAAACTACAAATGTTATTAGAGTAAAACTTTAAAACAAAAGGGAGTGATAATGCTGATCTCCCGGAGGATTAAAGAAGCTTTGAAAAGCACATATGGGTGAGCAGCTCACTTGCTCTCCTCCTTCTCCTCCTCTACCTCATACACTCAGGTTTTGTACCCCAGAGCTCTTTACTTATTATTTCTTTACCTGGAACACCTTTTTCTCAATGTCTCCCCAAATGTTTCTTTGCCTGAGTTATCCTACACTTCCTTTAAGTTTCATGTGAGGTCTTCAATAAAGTCTTTCTTTATTCCACATATTAGGGTCAAATGTTCCTACACTGTGCTCCCACAATGCCCATAACGACCTTTTAATCACATTTATCACACCAACTGCCATCCTCTCCATGCTGCCTCAGCTCCAGGCAGCTGAAATGCAGTAGTGACGCTGCGGCCTAGGCCTGTGCTTGGCCTTGTTGTTGTTGCTGTTGTTGTTAGGTGCCATAGAGTCATCTCTGACTCATAGTGACCGTATGTACAACAAAACGAAACACTGCCTGGTCCTGCACCAGCTCCACAATCCTTGCTATATTTGAGCCCATCGTTGCAGCCACTGTGTCAATCCATCTCATTGAGGGTCTTTCTCTCCTTCGACAGCCCTCCACCTTACCAAGCATAACATCCTTCTCCAGTGAATTGTCCCTTCTGACAACATGACCAAAGTATGTAAGTATGTAAGCCATTCTTGCTTCCAAGGAGCATTCGGGCTGCACTTCCTCCAGGACAGATTTGTTAGTTCTTTTAGCAGTCAATGGCCCTTTCAGCATTCTTCACCAACACCACAACTCAAAAGCAGCGACTCTTCTTTGGTCTTCCTTATTCATTGTCCAGCTCTCACAAGCATATGAGGCAATTGAAAATACCATGGCTTGTGTCAGGCACAAGCCTTAGTCCTCAAGGAGACATCTTTGCTCTTCAGCACTTGAAAGAGGTCCTTTGCAGCCGATTTGCCCAGTGCTTTATGTCGTCTGATGTCCTGACTGTTGCTTCCATTGGCATCAATTGTAGAACCAAGCAATGTAAAGTCTTTCACAACTTCAATCTTTTCTCCATTTATATGTGACTGTGGAGACTGCAAATTTAGGTTTCATCTAAATTTCTTATTGGTCCAGTTGTGAGGATTTGTGTTTTCTTTATATTGAGATGTAGTCCATACTATAAACTGTATTCTTCAATCTTCATCAGTAAGTGCTTCAAGTCATCCTCATTTTCAGCAAGCAAAGTTGTGTCATCAGTGTATCTCAGGTTGTTAATGATTCTTCCTCCAATCCTGATGCCACATTCTTCTTCATATAGTCCAGCTTCTCAGATTATTTGCTCAGTACATAGATTGAATAAGTATGATGAAAGGATACAACCCTGACACACTCCCTTCCTGATTTTAAACCATGCAGCGTCCCCTTGTTCTGTTCGAATGACAGCCTCCTGGTCTATGTATAGGTTCCTTATAAGTACAATTAAGTGTTCTGGAACTCCCATTCTTCTCAATGTTATCCACAATTTGTTAAGATCCACACAATCAAAGGGAGCTCTGGTGGTGTAGTACCTAAGGCATTTGACTGCTAACCAGAAAACTGGCAGTTCAAACCCACCAGCCACTCCTCGGAAGGAAGGTTGGCAATCTACTTGTGTAGTGATACCACCTCGGAAACCCAAGAAGGGGTCGCTATGAGTCGGATCTGACTAGACGACAATGAGTTGAGAGTTACACAATCAAATGCTTTTGCATAGTCAATAAAACATAAGTAAACATGTTTCTGATATTCTTTGCTCCCTCTGTGACTACCTAAAGGGGTGTCCAAACTAAACGTGCCCTCCTCTGTGCTCTCATAGCGTTTTATGAGTTCAAACAACTTGCTAGGCTTGGTAACTCTGGACAAGTTACCTAACCTGTCAAAGAGTTAGAGGGTTGTTACAAAAAAATAAGCACCTGGACATATAAAGAGAACACTTAGAATAGTACTTGTCACATAGTAAGTTCTATATTAAGTGTTGTATTAACATTATTAGGAGCTCTGGTGGTGTAATGCCTAAGGCATTTGACTGTTGAACAAAAGGCTAATGGTTCAAACCCATCAGCTGCTCCTAAGAAGGAAGATTAGACAATTTACTTGTATAGTGATATCACCTCAGAAACTCAAGGAAGGGTTGCTATGAGTCAGATCCAACTCGCCAGCAGTGAGTTTTTTGTTGTTGTTGTTGTTTGTTTTTACTAGTATTATTAAATACCACTTATCAAACAGTATTACAATTATTTGTTTCCATATTTGCGTTATTTATCCAGTACACTGTGGACATGTTATAAATCATGTCTGTTTTTCCCTCTTTGTACTTGAAGGGTCTTTCATAATTGGTGCTAAATATATGTTACTTGGATGGATGGTGAAGGAACCAATGAATATTTGACAAAAGGCATTAGGCACTAAAAAAAAAAAAAAAAAACCTCACTGCTGTGAAGTCAGATCCTATTCATAGTGACTCCTCCTTGTGTTTTGGAGGTGGTGCCTCTACCGAAGTAGATTGCTCAATCTTCCTTCGAGGAGTGGCTGGTGGGTTTGAACCACCAGCCTTCTAGTTAGTCGTCACATGCCTTAGGCACTATACCACCAGAGCTCCCAGTTAGCCACTGGAGAATTTAAATATAAGTAAGGCACAGTGCCTTTCTCTGACTAGTGGAGATGGACATGTGCACAAGGAAATATCAACACAAATCTCACTGTGGGAAAAATAAAAAGCAGCATGAATAATGTAGAGTGGGATGACAAAAGAGGAAATGATTAATTCTGACTCAGAAGTTGGGAAATGCTACACAATGAGGGTGAACAAGGAACCTCTCTGTTAAAATAACCAGAATTGACTCCCCCCCCCAAAAAAAAATGGGTAAGTACTAGTAAAAAAGCAGTTGTATGGATTTGAGCTCATCTATGACTCAGAAATGTATTCAATAAAGTGTCACAGAGAAAATATACCTAACTCTACAGTCAGGTACCTTTTATTTTTTAATTTACCAACCTGGCCTAAAAAATTTATTTAAAATGCTGAAGAAAGCAGATAAATAAGGTAGCACTCAAAATACTTATAACTTCAATGTATGTTTCCTAATAGAACATTACATCAATCTAAGCTGAGTTTATTTTTTTTCCTTAGCCTACCGATATCAGCAGCAAAAAATAAGAATAGATATAATTTTAAAGAATTTTCTTTATCCTATTAAGAAACGGACGTGAGAGGAGGAATTTCAAGAGATAACAACCTATCTACCATTGAGTATTTCCTGCAGTAGGAATTAAATTTTAAAAGTCAGAGTACTGTATCTACCTAGGAGTGGGATAAAAATGGAAACACAATAAGAATAACCAAACAATGCACGTTCCTACATGAAATGCATCACCTCAGCCTCAGAAGACTATTAGACTAAATAAGCTTAAAGACCACCGATTAGCACATTTACAAGTAGCTCTAAATAGCCTATTCCTTTTAATTAAAAATTCTATTATTTTAATAACAATACTTTATACTCACAGAGGGACTTTCATCTACAGAGCTCAGAAGGATTTTACAAGCATGGTTTCATCATTATCCCCATTTCAGAGATTGGAAAATGGAGGCACTTAGTCACTTGTACAAACAAGAAGTTCTCAGCCAATTGTTCAAAAACTATTTAGTGTGCACGTTTTTCAAAAGCCCAAAGACACAGCTGCAACTGATATATTCCTATAAATGCTAACTGGCAGGTGAAATTTGTAAGGTAAATGACTAATGCCAAAGTCTCCTGAAGTTTAGTTCTTCCTGACAGTTAAGTTCAGTATATTTTTGTTGTTGTTGTTTCAATTTATCACTGCAGAGAATACTAAAGAATCTGGGCACAGAATTTTTCAAGTTTCTTTTTCCAGAGATTGTATTCATTTCTATTTCTTAAGCCAAAATCTTATATAAGTTTCATGGCCACAAAAACTATTAGGGAGTTTATTCTTTCAATGAATTAACAAAATTCTGAGTCCTCAATAGTCAGGTTGCCAGAAGCTGACCTACGTCTCTTTCTTAAGGACTTCTGAGCAACCCCAGGAGCCTCAAGGGTCCTTTTAGCAATAGAATCCTGAGGCTACCAGAGATGAGAGATGATCATTTTTAAACTAGAGGAAAAAAGTTAAAGACTGCCTCCAGAACCATGAAAAAATACCCAGGGAAGGGAAGCAGCTCATTCTTGGGAGACAATAAATGGAAGGACATGTGTCTTGTTTTGGGACACAAGGTAGGACTCACAGACTGGTGATTAGTGTATATACTAAATAAGACAGCACCCAGCAACAACAACAACAAGTAATTTTCCAGTCTGGTGACCTGAGACTCAAAGAAAAACATCACTGAGGACTCCCTACTTTACTTGCTAACAGAAGCAGAAACACCCAAAATTAATACAGAGAGATATTTAAAAAAAAAAAAAAAAACTACTGCCTTTGAGTGGATCCTGGCTCACATCAACCCTATAGGACAGAGTAGAACTGCCCAATAGGGTAAACAAGGCTAGAAATCTTTATGGAAGCCAACCATCTCATCTTTCTCCCATGGAGCTGGTGGGTTTGAATGACCAAACTTTTGGTTAGCAGCTAAATGCTCTAACCACTGCACCACCAGAGCTCCTTAGGGAGAGCTATGGTCTTGAAAAAGTATATTGTTATTAGGTGCCATTGAGTTGATTCTGACTCACAGTAGTCATAGAGTACATAGTAGTGACATAGTAAGGACAGAGTTCCTGTGTAATACAGTAGAACTGTCCCACAAGGTTTTCTGGCTATAATCTTTACAATTGAAATTGTCAGGGATTTCATTTTACTTAGATCCACAATCAATGCCTATGGAAGCAGCAGTCAAGAAATCAACAATTACAGTGGGCAAATCTGCTACAAAAGACCTCTTTAAAGTGTTTAAAAGCAAAAATGTCACTTTGAAGACTAAGGTATGTCTGACCCAAGCCATAGTGTTTTCAATAGCCTCATATGTATGTGAAAGCTAAACAATAAGGAAGACTGCAGAAAAATTGATTCATTTGAATTGTGGTGTTCGCAAAGAATATTGAATGTACCATGAAAGGGGAGAAGAACAAATTTGTCTTAGAGGAAGTACAGCTGGAATGCTCCTTACAAGCAAGGATGACCACACTTCATCTCTCATACTTTGGTCATGTTGTCAGAAGGGACCAACCCCTGGAGAAGGATATCATGTAATAGAGGGTCAGTGAAAAGGGCGGGAACATCCACAACAAGGTGAATTGGCACAGTGCTTGCAACGATGATCTCAACCATGGCAAAGATTGTGAAGACAGTGCAGGACAAGGCAGTGTTTCGTTCTATTGTGCACAGGGCTTACTATGAGTCGAAACTGACTAGACAGCACCTAACAACAACAACAATCTTTATGAGAGCAGACCACTAAGTCTTTCTCCTGTGGTGCTGCTGTGTGGGTTCAAATCACCAATGTTTTGGTTAGCACCTGAGTGACTCACCATTTTGCCACCGGAGCACAATTCCTTTTTGAATGAGTATTACTACTACTTTTTTTACTCACTGCCGTCAAGTCCATTCGACTCATAGCAACCCCTCCTTGGGTTTCCAAGGTGGTATCTCTATGGAATTAGATTGCTCAATCTTTCTTCCAACGAGTGGCTGGTAGGTTTGAACTGCCAGCCTTCTGCTTAGAAGTCAAATGCCTTAGTCACTATACCACCGGAGTATAGACAGAACAAATCACGAAGGAGAACAGGCAAGCCACAGACCAGCAGTTGGGTCTCAGGATTAGTCAAGGCCCTGGCAATGGCTCTCAAACAAGTCTACACCCCAAAGCAGGGCTTCTTGGACTGTCCTAGGTAAGTGTGATGTCCTTACAGCCCAGACTTAAGAGGACAGGCCCTACTTCTGGCCCACTGCTTTCTTAGAAAGGAGCCCTTATGGCACAGTGTTAGCACTCAGCTGCTAACCTAAGGTCTGCAGTTCAAACCCACCAGCTTCTCTATCATAGAAAGATGAAGCCATCCGTTTCCATAAAGATTTACAGCCTTGGAAACCCTATGGGACAGTTCTTCTCTGTCCTATAGGGTTGCTATGAGTCAGAATCAACTCGATGGTGGTGAGTTTGGTTTGCATGCTTTTTAGGCATGTTCATCCTCATCACAGCAGAGAGTCTCTGTTTATGTTTTGAAAGTAGGTCACTGTGACCCTAAGTTCCTGTCACTTCTGCAGAAATATTTATAAATATTCCCTCAGAACAGGGAAGTAGCAATTGTTTCTATATTGCCATTTTCTGCTCTGCTCTTTCCATTCTTACCTTATTTTAAGAACTTGCTAAACATATAAAGGAGCTCTGGTAGCATAGTGGCTAAAGCACTCGACTGCTAACCAGAAGGCTGGCGGTTCAAACCCACCAGCCACTCCTCGGAAGGAAGGTTGGGCAATCCTACTTCCGTAGTGATACTGCCTCGGAAACCCAAGGAGGGGTCGCTATGAGTCAGGGCTGACTCAATGGCACACAACAACAACAACAACAAACATATAAAAAAAAAAATTTTTAAAGATAAAGGTGACAATAAAAAAAGTTAACAGTAAGTTAACAGTTATATCTAGTTTCTTAATACCTTCTGCCTCCAGATTCAATAAAATGGAGATTCCCAACCTTTGTAAGTTGTGGCACTTTATCATTGATTAACCTGGAAATAATTATTCTAGAAGTATTTTTGATGCGCAAAGAAGTTACTGTGTTAATTTACTTTCTGAAAGCACAGATAATATAAACCTGATGCTTCTCATTAGACTGAAAAGCCATGAGAATCTATGAGACAGTAACTATAGGATCAATTGCTTAAAGAGCACAGATGAAATGATTAGTATATACATGATATGCTATTAAAACCTTTCATCACATTCATATCAAGGGCAAAGCTAAGACTTCAGAGCTAAACACAGAATTAATAATATGACTACAAAATGATTATAAAGGCAGAATTTTTGCAAAGTTTTTAAAAAACTAGTATTATCCCTCAGAGGGAAGATGGGGCAATCTACTTCCATAGTGATACTGCCTCGCACACCCAAGGAGGGGTCACTCTGAGTTGGTTCCGACTCAACGGCACATAACAACAACAAAAACATAACAAGTATTATCCCTACATTAACATCACAGCCCTTTATGTATTTTCTTAAACCCCATGTGTACAGAGTAAAACATGCTCCATAGGGTCCAAAGCTGTGAACTTTTGGAAGCAAATCACCAGGCCTGTTTTCCAAAGCGCCTCTGGGTGACTTTGAAATGCCAACCATTCAGTTAGTAATCAAATTTGTGCTACCCAAGGCCACCTTTTTACATGGTTCAATTATCTGTATCTTCCTATGTTCTAGCATCATATGAGAACATAAGGGGGGAAAAATCACTTAGAAAAAGTTTTATGCAACCAGCTGCCAGAAACAGTGTCCAAGGGCTTTGCTGAAGTGGCTGCTTCTGTTTTTTGTTTCAAATGCCAGCCAGCCTTTGAGCATTTATCACTGCTATGCATGACTGCTGAGAACTGGAGGGAGCACTACTGCAGGGCTTGAGAAGGCCGAGAGAGCCAGAGGAATTGGGAATGCCCAGAGACTTCAAAGAAATGGGCAAAAAGACAATGGTCTAAAAGAAAGACACTGAGAAAAAATTTTAGTTTTAATTTTCAAATCGAGACAAGAGTGTATAAAAAGCCATTTTAATCTAATAAAACCATCCCTACTCTAGCTCACTGAGAAAGGTTTATCTTGCCACTTCTCTACAACTTTGGCAAAATTACTCCCATTTACAACTTTAATGAGAACGATGAACCTGCTTGAGATCGGTTTCAGTAATTAGAAATGTAGAGACCAGGACTTCAGAACACCTGCCTTGCCTCCTTCATTATAAATGCCAAGCCTCACCCACCTCTTCAACAAGTGCAAACCCATTTCAGAAGGAGAGGGCACCAGACCAATCTTGAAAGCACTGGTTCCCAGTATCAAAGCCAACTCCAAGCTCTTTAACTTCCCCTTCCAGCAAACAAGTCAATGGTATGTTGGCATGGGTTCCTATAACCAGGCTTGTTCATGTAATGTTTATTTAGTTTTCCTAACTAGATGTACTAGATAATGGGAAGCATACAACTAAAACTTCAGCCTTAATCCATATGCTTCCTGCAGGAAAAAAAAAAAAAAAGTGAAATTAAGTTTACATTTCAAAATCTAGTCTAACAGTCTCTGTTAATAGTCTCATCTCTTCCCAAGAAGGGACTTCCTTTGAGGCCCACCCCAGCAACCCTGAGAGTGGTCCAGTTTTGCCCACAGGGTCCTCTCACCTGTGCACTTGCAGGTCTGGTTGAAGAACTTCCTGGGCCATTGTTCACGGTCGTCCCGGTTCCGCAGGACATAAGGGCCACTCCAGGGCCTGGAGTCTACTTGAACCTCTGTGCATTGCCCCCGGCCCTCTTGTGAACCACAGATGTTGGCTGGCTCCATGCCCAGCTGCGGGCAGCACTCCTTGGACACAAGGTTGCCCACTGTCATGCAGACCCGGGGGAACTGAGCCCAGGTTGCAGGCAGGATTCCACAGCCCAGGCAATTGAACAGAAGCCCCCACCAAAGGGAGCTCATGGCTTTATACTTGGGAGAATTCTTTCTCATATCAGTTCTTTCTCGCTCTGCCACTCTTTGTTTCTAGCCTGTCTTTCTCCTTGTCCTGGAATCTTGAGCATTCACTTCATCCTTTAAAAAAAAAAAAAAAAATTGTACTGTATACTAACCCTCACCTCTTAAAAAAATACCCAGAAAATCACAGAACCCACATGTGTGCATGTGTGTACACACACATGCACACAATATTTTACGTGACTCAACGTGTGAAACAACTAAATCAAATGTAATTTTGTTAGAAGCTCCTCTAGCAGCCAAATTTAATGAGAGTAGCTTCTCACCATTTTCCCCCACTGTTAAATCAGGCTTTGTCTAATTGAGTTAATTTACAGAACACTCCAACCATACTACTTATTATGCTGGTATTTCTGAACCCTCTCCTTTTCTCCTTGACTTTAATTGCCTTGAACTCAGTTCAAAAGCCAAACGCCGCACTGCTTTTATTCTGTTGGGCTTGCCAAGCCACAGGGCCTTGCAGGGTTTGTGTAACGGCTGGGAGAAGCCATCATTAGGGGGATTAGTATTAGAGAAATCCTCATCGTTAGCACATGACCCAAAGTGCACAATGAAGTAGATAAATTTTCTGGCTTTGTTTCAAGAGGGTAAAACCATCTTCTTTATCTGGGCTCTTGTGCTCCCGCCAAACTTGTGACCTCAGACTTCCCAGGGAGTCAATAGACGCAGTTAGCTCTCGGTGAAAGGCCCTTTCCAGACAAGCATACGTTGCTAACTACAATTTACTCATGACTGCTCACTGACATGCTAGTGAGACCACTACTGGAGGTCACACAGCTTCAAAAATAAAGAAACATTTATTTAGGTCTGACATACAAGGAATTGCTTTGCTCCACAATTAGGGATCCTCTTCCCTCCAAATAATAACTTACTATTCTCCCAGTTGGCTCATCTACCCAGCAGATTATTTTAATTCACGAAGTAGCATGCCACCAGAAATTTGAAATTGCCATTCTCTAATTATAATGAAGACAGTCGAACAATTTGGAGTGATAGCTTACAGCTCCATCATTTAATCTATGTTAGAAGTTAAGTATTGTCAATCTTCAGTGTAGATGACAATGCCTCTCCAGTGCTTCTGGGGGATGGAGGGGAGTTGGGACACATGTCAGAGCATTTACTGACTCTTCCATGGTGAAAAAAAAAAAACAGGACCATCTCAGTGCCACAAATACCTGTACAAACAGCTGATGTGGACTGCTTCAGTCAGTTTCTAGGAAAACTTTTTACTTGGACATAAAGAAGAAAAATGTTATGTTGCAAAACAGATTCCTAATGTTAAGAACAAAAATGTTATACAGTTGCTTCTAAGACAAGTATCTCTGTGTCACCCCCATAATATGAAGTTTGAACTAATTAAATGGCATTTCTCAACTCTGGCGATACACTAATGTTGGCCTATATTCCAGATCAATTAAATCAGAATCTCTGAGAGAGCTGTGAGCCCCAGACTCATTTATCTAACTTCCTATCTGACCTCTCCACTTAAGACATCTAGACATCTCTCACTTAACATGCTCAAAACAGAACTTTTGCTTTCTCCTTGTCCCACTAAATTTGTTCCTCTATTGGTGTTCTCCATCTTAATAAAGAGCATCACCAAAATCCTATATGTCACTCTTGACTTCTTCCTTCATTCTCCACTGCACTTAAGAGTAAATCCCGGAGTTCCGGCAAGATGGTGGACTAGGCAGAAGGACTGCACAGACCCTCTTCAACAAAGAAAAGGG